AAATCCTTTTCAAGGTATATCCCAAGCAGCTCTCCATTCAGCTTGCAGAGATTTGCCATTAACACTTCTTTCCATAGGGGCTGCCTAAGCAACTAATCTGCATGATATTGATTTACTAGCACCTGGCACTGACACACTGCAAAGCTCAACATTGAAACGTGCTTTTCTTTTGTGAGTATAGTGTCTCTGACAGAATGAGGAAATACATCGATGATTTAGGTGGCAGCACAATTCTCGGTAGACACTAGGCAATAGAAGCCCAAACTGAAAGTACTCACTGTAATCCCACAGAAAGTCCCGAGGAAAGAGTATGAAGAAAACCTTTTCCATATACAAACAGTGAAGTTCTGAGCAAAGGAGGTGCACCTACAAAAAAAAGTCTTCTCCAATTCTACTAGTCCACATGCCCCCATTATGTTTCTCTCTTCCATCACTTCCAGTCTTATCAGCAAACCTCCCACAATTTGTATGCCAAACTATCTGTCTTGAAAGCTAAGATCTTTCCACAGCCCTACACTTCTCTCATCATGTTAATAAAATTAACAATTAACCATTAATGATTAAAATAAAATACTCTATATGAATCTTTCTTTAAACATACATAAAAATTATTTTAGATTATTTGTAACTCAGATTGTAACTTCCCCTAATTAGGGATACTGGATTAGATTTTCAGTTGTGATACAAACTGGTACATTTCCAAGAAAATCTGATTTATATCATAGGAGGATCTTGCTTGTCTAATTACTATGCATCAGAACATTATGCAGGAATGCTGTCCACATGGCATAGACATCCATGAACAGAGTGATACATCACACACATTCCTTTCAGATCTGAGGTGTCAGAGAGGGTGTCCAACAACACTGCTATACTTGCACCTGTTCAGGTAGGTGTGGATGGAGCGTTGCTGCAATAAGCATAATACAGATATACATGCAGGAAGAAATTACAAATGAGATGGCATAAACCTCTGAGATTTCCATATGTCATTATTATCCAGCAAGAAACACTGCTCCTTTGCATTGTTTTCCTTGTTTATTTTTTTCTTGATAGTATGTTTCAAGGGGTCTCCCACAGCACAGAAATACTTGGTGCAAAACTTAATGCATCCTGAGCTAGTATTTTTATGAGAACTGCTTTTCTGAGAACTGCTTTGAAATTTCATTTACTGTATTATAACAAACAGTCCTAACGTGTAATCCTTCACATGACACAGTGGCCACTTTAATCTGATACCTTTCCTCCTCCTCAGATCAGATAAGGTCTTCAACCACTCCACTTCCTAAATCCATCCTCAAGTTCTTAAATAATTCTTCCAAGTGAAAACAAATCAAAACAAGCAAACAAACAAACAAAAACACCTGTGCAGCACTGTAAAGACAGTGTAGAGCACTCAGCTTTTTCTTGCTACATAACTAGGAAAGAATCACATAGAGTTCTTTGAAAATGTTCAGACCTCAGCAAACCTTTTTAGAATGAATACCAGGCTCAGCAGCACTGCACAAGATATCACAAGCCTGTGTGATCACAGGTAGTTACTCATATAATTGTGATTTAAGCTTTCATCACAATACCAAAACTGTTACAGCTACATACAGTAGCTGTAGCAACTGAATGTTTAGTCAAGAATACTTAGATTATCTCCATGTCTCATCTGAAACGTGCACACATGTAAAATCCAGTTCCAGTTTAGAGATAAAGGCACAGAAATTATACAGAAAAGAACAGCGATGATGCCAAGGTATATAAACCAAGGTGTATCTTGTGAAAAGTTAGATTCCTATTGACATGTGGAAGTTCAGGCTGTTGCAATCAAAAGGCGTGTTTGCAAGTCTAACATTTATAATCACACAAACATTCCCCCACCCCTAATGTCAAACACACTGAATGCCTTTCCGACAGTGAGAGGCTTTCCAGCTGGTGAAGAAAGCAGCAGGAGGAATTCAATTTGTACATTATTTCTAACTATTATATATCTACATTTCTAAATGGAGTCCATTTTTATTCCAGCCTGCTATTCTACTGCAGCCAGATGCTATCATGATGGATGGGATATATAAATACCAGCAATACACATGAAGATGCACTTATAAAATGCCCAAAACTATTACCAAGTTAATGCATACCTTTAATAAATGGTTCACTGTTTATTACAGGAGGCTGTGGCTCAAAGATCACTTGTGTCTGTTTAAAGTATATTAATTGCTAACACATACGTTCTCCATCTGTGACAAGGTTACAGTCTTAATTAACCAGATATTAGCCCTTTGCAAACTGCTTACCAGTGAAACAATATAAAGTTCAAACTAAATACATTAAATGAACAGTAAATGAGTCTGTCTCCTCCAGACAAAGCTATTTCCACTTTGGAAGGCAACACAGTCAACTGAGATTGTAAGCAACTGGCAAGTAACAATTCTGGCACTAACCCTTTTTTGTGTCTCTGGAAAAGCTGTCTCTGGTTCTTCCACCTTCCTTTCTCTGTTTCATGTTTAGACAACAGTGACGTTGGAGAGGTATTCAGGCCTGGAAACATCCCACGTAAGTAAGATACCTAACCAAAGTGCATGGCCTAAGAGATTAATTGCATAAGCTTCTTGTATAATCGGTGGAGAACATGACATAAACCTTCTCCTAGTGATCCATATAAAAGCTTTTCTGCTCTTCTTTGATCATGCAGGTTTAAAAACGGAGTCAAGGTAATTAATTATACCTGTATTGCTCCAAAACAAAGAATTTAGATACATCATTCATCTCTGTTACAGTCTGTCTATTTTTCCAACAAATAAAAAACAGTGAAGTGTCATTTCTGAATGCAGATTCAAAACTAGAAGATGGGAAAAAAAGGCTAGAACACAGAAGGATACAGGTAGCTTTTACTTTCTAGACTGCCTGACGCAGACAAATACTCAAAATGGAAAGAAAAAAAAAAATGAAGTCCTGTACACCACAAAAAAAAAAAAAGAAAAAAAAAAAGAAAAGGTGTTATATTAACACCAAGCACAAAATAGCCGCAGAAGTATTTCCACGGATATGATTGACACTAACTATATTCAGGTTTCTTAAGGGAGTACCTTTTTTTTTTTTTTAAAGAGAAAAAAATATGGAAGATCAAAATCAAAATATTCAGCATAGTACTGGTTGTACTACCCAGGAGGAGCTGTATTGGGCTGAAATGATGCCTTGAATGGAAACATATTCTGAGTAGCAGGTTTACCATCTTCCAGTAGCAACAGAATAGCTGTGGATCCACAGATTCCTTCTGTTATCCTTCCCAGAATGTGGTGGTCACTGCAATCCTTCATGCTCTCATACCACAAAAGTTTCTGCTGCACTACAGGACTGACAGCCACTGAAGCTTACAGGCAGGATTCCTCTCTCATGATTGCTTTAAAAAAAAATTAGCCAGAGAAGATGAGAACTCACAAAGAGTATGTCTACAGCCACTGCACACTGTCAGTATAGCAGAGAACAGGTGCAGGCAGGTACCACTGCAAGAGTCCACAAACATGGACAGGTTCCCACTGCTGCAGCACCCTTACTGCTGCACCACCCTTACTTCTGCCTCTGTTCCCACTGCTGCAGCAGTGGGAACAGAGGCAGAAGTAAGGGTGGTGGATAACACCATTTGTAGAGCCACTACCACCTCTGTGGCAGGCTTTAAGCAGTGTGTGCCTCACCACCACTGCTAAAATACCCTCATCATAAATAGGTGAGAGCAGATACAATTGCATCAGTCCAGATCTCAAATAATTTTTAAGCAACTATGAACATGCCAAATAACCTTTAAATAGAGCTAGTTTGTGCATCCACTGCAAAAGTTTTGTGTTGTATCTGCCAAATGAAAGTCAAGTAGCTCTTAAGCATCAGGCTGATAATGAAACTGTTCTCAGCATAAGCAAAATGCAGTAATTCTTAAAGGGCAAATGAAGTGCTTGGTAGCAGAACAGAAATGGGACTGCTGTTGAATTTGGCTGGCTTTTCCAGTTCCAGCCTAAGAACATTCTGTAGCCTAACAATATGTTTCTGCATTTGTTAATCTGATAAGGTCAGTCAGTTGCAGATAATTTTTATTGCTCTATTTATTGCTCTATCTCAAATAAAAGGAAATGGGAATCATCGAGTTACCTTTCCTGATCATTCCTTCAACACACCTAGCTTCCTAGAGGATAAACTACCCTCTGCTGGAATAACAGAGAATTTACAGGCAAGAACAAATTTCCTTAACAACTTTGTACAGACATTCTTTAAAGCATTCAACTGCAAATACCATTTGTCTGTTGCTGTAGGCTTACTAACGCTGGGTTTTATGCCAATAATTTGCAGTGAGTGTCCTCTTTGTGAAAGATAACTGACTCTCTTTATAAATGAATCATTCCCACAGAATTAGCCTTTCTGAAGTGAGAATAATAGTTTTTTTTTTAAGAACCAAGCTGCTGATTTATATACAGTAATCAGTAGCTCGTTGGTTTGTATTTTCTTCGTCCTGGCATCTTTCAGAATTCAAAGCACAATGTGACACACCATGAAAGATTTGATTATATACAGTGGTTACATAGTATACAAAAACATCCCAAATAATTGTATTGGCAAGCATTTATAAAAAGGAGAAGTCTTTCCCAAAGAGCCAGCCTCAGTGTTTATCAAGAGACTTCTTCCACCAGGCAATAAAAAAGCCATTGCATTGCACTATTAATTGTTAATCTATCTTGGCAGCTGTAAACACTTTCAAACATAGCCACACTGTAAACAGGATGGTACAAGAAAAAACTTATATTCAACTTTTTGAGCTGATTGTAACTCCATTCTAGGCTGAAATCAGATGCCAAGCCAGCCTTCATGCTGCATAGGTGGCATACCGGCTCAGCACTTACTATATATGATTCTGGTTTCGTTTGAAAGATGGTGCAAGTACTGTCACTGAAGAAAACACTTCACCTCAAAATTATTGACAATCTTCTTGGAATGCTTAATCAGGACAAAAACAGAGAACACAATTTGTATAAAGGAAGCAGATCTTTCCAGAGAAAGACGGGTTTATTTTACAAGGAGATGTTAAAAAACATCAAAGACAAGTATGACAACAAGGAAAGGAATGCTACAAAATTACATGAATTATGCAACTTCCACAACTGTTGATCTGGCTGCAAAAATCCCAGGTCGACTGATTTCATCATAGGGGTATATGGTGCACATCTTTTAACACTTTATATGAGTTTTAAACAGAAGTGAATAACTTCAGTTCCTTCTTCAAAGTTATAGGATATGATTGTTTAACACACTCCTGTTTACCATTATCATACCTCTGGAGAAAAGAAAAAAAAAAAAAAAAAAGAACAAGAAATAGAAGAAAGTCTGTTGAAATTTCTGGCACATGGATATCATCAAAGAATTACAATCGAGATCCTTAGAAAGAATCTTATGTCTTCAACACTCTCGTGGAAAATCTGCAGAACTAGACAGCAATAGGAACTGTCAGAGAACTACTTCCTGTGCAGTGCTGGGTTCTGTCTGCTTCCACCACTACTGTCTACCACACACAACAAAACCTACACCTCATGCACCCAGCTGCTGAAAACAAAACAAAACAAAACAAATAAAAAAAAAATCCAATACTTACAACATGCCTTCTAAAATTCCCTGCAAAACCAATCCAGCATATGTTCTAAAAATATAGTTGTTTATTTCAATGAAGGTGCAACAGTTTGTGCATGAAAGGAATTCAATTTGTAGCATTTTTGTTGGACATTGCTGTCTACTTGTAATTCATCAGGTAAGACCTGAATTAGCCATAACTATTTAGAAGTATGAAAAATAAAAATAGATGTTAAAAACTAACCATTTGTGCTCCTCTATGAACACCCCTTCTATGCCATTGGCCTCTGAAAGACAAGTAAGCTCTGTTCATCTCAGAAAAATCAGAAAAAAATAGTAAGCAACTATTGAGGAAGAAGCTAATTTAACTGTATTGCTCTAAAGAAATGAGTTGGGAGAAAAGAGTAAGTATTTAATTCAATGCAGATTTTATTATTGCTAAAATAAAACTATATAACACTGCAGTGACAAATGTTATTACAGAGGAAAAAATCATTGTGTACTGTAAGGATTAATAGCTTCATTTAAACTGGAAAAAAAATAATAACTTCAGTATCATGATTGACTAGTACGGAACACACTGTATTTTCTGGGAGTGTAGGTATCCTGCAGGAGCGCAGAGGTGCCTTGCATGCCTGCTCCCCATCAGCTCCTCTTCCAGTGGCAGTTTGCAGATCTTTCCTGGATGTTCATACAGGACATTCCCCTCTCAGGGAAAGCCTCAGCACAGCAAGCTGTTTCATCAGGTACAAAGGAAATGTACCAGAAGTACTAGTAATATTACTAGTCAGGCTAGTAATAACCGGAACTCTTAAAAGAAATCTAATACTGGTTTGCTTGTACATTTAATACATCTAAATCTAATACTGGTTTACTTGCATTTATAAATCTAATACTTTATTACCTGTGATGATGTTACAAGAAAATCCGAAGAAAAACATTATGTGCTTTAAAATATAAAAACTTGTATCTACTTACAATGCTATTTCCATTCCAATTACATTACAGAATCTCCCACTTCCTTTTAAATATTTCTTCAACTTACTCCTTGTGTATTTTTTCTTTCCTATTGATTAATTAAAGATCATTATGTAACATTTGGTTTGGTCTATTTCCACTGTCTATTAATAATGATTTTATTTCGGCATACAGGCATAGTTTAGTAATAGCCATCTCAACATCACAATGTCGTGTTATGTTATGTTTGTTTGTGGTTTTTTTCCCCTGAAAAAAAAATATGTCAAAAGCATGAATAGTTGAAGGAAAATTAAGCAAAACGCAACACGGAAGTTTTCCCATAGCTAAATTTTCACCAAAGAAAAAAAGTTGACAACCTGTTGAGTAATTCAAGAATGTTACTGATCCTGAATTATTTAATGGAAGATTACCAAGCAAACCATTGTTTCAGGCCTGCAATATGTTAAGAACTCAGGCCAAAGCTTCCAAAACTTGTTGCATATTCACTACTACTGCAAAATTACAAAGCCACTGAAAACGCAGTTCCTCTGGAAACAGAGCTCATAGGAGCACCTCCAGTAAAGAAGACATCAGCTTATAAGCCTACATGGGCATTTTGGTGTCGAAATTACAAACAGCTCCACATGCTAGAGACCTTTCAATAGGTTATTTGTCTACAGTCTAGCTCCACTCCCTCTGAGCAACACAGGTAGGGCTTTGGAACCATCAGCCAGCTAAAGGAGCTTGAAAAAGGCTGTCATGTGGCAGCCAAGAAATGCTGAGTAATTATGAGCCTCTTACCACATCACGGTGAGGGGGGGACAGGGAAAGGAAGGGGCGAGGGAAGGACAAGTATGCAAATTTAAATCTCTTTCACCATGCTAGAAATACAACCACAAATAGTTACACAGTTATACAGCTCAACTAACCAAGCCATACTAGTTCACTGATGTATTTGAGTATTAACCTAACAATTGTAACACCACTAAAATCAGGAAAAAATAATTACTTTGAGACAAGTGAAGTTTATCCTAATCATTGTTAGCAAGTCTGGTGCTTCTGCTTGAGCCATAGGATATCACAATGTTTACTTGGTCTGATTTAAAGACCACCAACAATATAAAAATCAAAAACATTTCCAAATGAACTGTTCCACTGGTCAATAAGCTTCCTGTTTAAAAGGTCTTGTTTATTATGTGGTGATCATGTAATTGTGTATATAAGTAAAGACCAAAGCACATTTAAATCACATACACTACAATGGTTTGCATCCATTTTATAAACCACTGACGTGTTATCTCATCTAGTATTTTTAAAATTAGAAGTTTTATTCTATACTTGATTATCATTCGGAAGCTTTTGTTTTTTGTTCATGCTATTTTGACTTGCCACCTATGCGGTTTTCACATACAAGTTCTTTGGTGGTTACTCAGTGCTACAATGCATGACACTGTTGCTGTGACAGCATGACTACTCACCTTGCAAGCGGAATTTCTTAGTTTTTCAGTTCCACTTTAAGTGTCTTCCTTCCTCTGAAGACTAAATCTTTCGTACGATTATCATTCTCATCTTGACTATGAGTTCTAGATATCAGAACTATTAATTCTAAGGGAAATTCCTAAAACTTATTAAGTTTTTCTAGTTATTTGAGAACTTTTACTCAAAGGAGAGATACAGTAAAATCACATCTGTACCACACTTCTGTAACTATCATATTCTCTAAGAACTAACATTATTTCAAAAAACTGATCTCACTATCCTTGCTCTCAAAGCTACACTTCTGTTGTTATTTCACTGGTCTCCTTGGCTCCTCTGCATTTTTAATCAGTTATTTAGGTATACTCACTGCAAGACAGACCTTGTAGAATGAAAAATAACATTCATTCTTCCACACAGACACACGGGTATACATACCCCCAAAAAGACTTGAGCACCCTCTACTTCTGTAGACAAGACTTCTGAAGACACACAACCTGTTACGAGATGGTCAAAATATTTCATAAGACTGGGTCTGTAGGTAAGGAAAAAGTCAAAGAAAAAGCAGCAACACAGAAGCAAAAATCATTTCCTCTACCCTTAGGTATTAGAAACCTTTGCTCTGCATCAGGGAAGTCAGGCAATTCTTCTCCTATACTGCTGCACCTGTGTTAACTTAATCCCACATAATGGCCTCTAATACCAGAGCACCAAAGTCCCAGTTTATGAAAGAAGGACAACAGAGAAAACACGTACAGTTACACAGCTTGAATTCAGAGCCTGCTGTGTACCAGGGGCAACTTTCCTGGAACACCCAGACCAGGTGTTCTTATGCTGCAACACCCGGAAAACTGTTTAAAAGATAAGAAAAAAAAAAATCATCGTGCAGTGCATTACACTGTGCATTTCCTTTGCAAGTGTTTCGGGCTGCTTCTAATTTGTTTCTGACAATTAGGCAAACTTAATTGAGCAACCTCTACTCCCACATGTAGCTCTTTGTTTATGACGGAATATTCTTCCGATTTTGTAGAGGCTCAAAGAGCTGTCATGCCAGCCAGTTGTATAAAGTCCTATTTACTCTACCTGAACAGACCACCACCACTAGTATAGCTTATTTATATACGTGTCATTTTAAAACCAACTATACTTCCTAAGAATTAACTTTATTTTCCAAGAGGCAAGATAACAACACTAAAATGCTGAAGGATCAAATCACAAATGTCACCTTTTTTTCCACATCTGCTCACACAACGTTGAAAACTGGTATTATTCACCCTCTTCCCTTCAATACACAGCCTCACGCACTTTGCCCTGGCAGAATTTCTGCTGTCAGCACACCGTGACATCACCGCTGCCAGAGGTTTAGAGAAAGGGGGGTGGGGGAGGTGGAGGATAGTAAGAGTGAAAAAAAAAAAAAAGATTAGACTGATTAGACTTTGGTAACACATTTTGCCTTGACTTCAGAGAAGAGGTTCTGCTTAAGGATATAAATTTCGTGCTTCAGGGCACGGGTTTCGTCTCCACTGTAGTAACTGATGTCATCTGGTGTAGGAGCGAGGCCGTGCGGCCAGCCAGCGCCAGGTGCTGGACGTGGTGTGGCGGTCTGAGCACCTCGCTCCTGACCAGGCGCAGGCACCACTGGTGCTTCTCCTCTCCGAGGAACACCTTTGCGTGTGTCTACCTGTCGTGGTGCGAGCTCCGTGCCGCTGTTTCTGCTCCAGGGTCTCGTCAGCCACCGCTGCTCGTTGAGTGCCGCCGCGCCAGGCATCAGACCAGCACAGATCAGCACAGCTCCTGTACGTGATCTCCTTGTGGCCAAGCTCAAGCGAGCCCTCGACACAAACACACCAACACGTCCCTCGCACGCACACTCACACGCACACACACACACACACACACACCCTTCCTGTGTTTGGCAACGCCACCAGCCGCGCACGGGAGCCAGCGCGAAGCAATACATCGATGACGGGCTGTGAGGAACGCCGACGGCCGGCAGCGGCAGCCTGATGCAAGAGCTCCCGCCGCCGTCCCGCGGCACCACCCGCCTTATCTCCCGGCCACCCGCCCCCACGGCGGGACGGGGCGGCGGCAGGTGCCCCTCACGGTCCCCTCACGGTCCCCTCACGGTCCCCTCGCGGCCCCCACACGGCCGTTGGGCGCCCCCTCCCGCCCGGCCGCCCCCGCCGCGGGCGGAGGTGCCGCGGGCCGGCCCTGCCCGCCGCCGCCCGGCCAATGGAGCGAGAGGGCGGGGAGCGGCGGCGGCGGCTGCCCCGGGGCCGCCTCCGCCCTCCGCGGCGAAACTCGGCGGGAGCGCGGCGCTGAGGGGAGAGGAGCCGCAGCCCCGCGAGGCGGAGGGAAGGCAGGGAAGGGGGAAGGAGGGGATGAGCGGCGGGCACCACGCTCCGGCACCTTCCCGCGACGCCCCCGCCGCCACCTGGAGCCCCCGCCGCTGCCGCTGAGAGGGAGAGGGGCGGCGAAGGACGCGGGGACCCGCGGGGATCCGGTGCTGGGCTCGCCCCGCTGCCAGCCGGGGCTGCCCCCACTTCGTCTCCTCTCACGATTTTTTTTTTTTTTCCTTCCTCTTTTTTTTTTTTTTTTTTTTTTTTCGCCTAAACCACACCGGCTCTTTCCCTCCCTCCTCTTTTGCAACCTCCCCGCTTTTCCTCCCCGATTCCTCCTTTGCTTTTTTTTCTTCCTCCCCTTGCCTCCCCTCGGCTCCCCAGCCATGTCCTTCAGCCCCACCATCATGCCACCTGCCAACGGCTCCGCCAACGGGACCGCCGGCGGGGCCGAGGGCGGGAAGCCCCCCACCATCCCCACCGTCATGTTCATCTTCGGCGTGGTGGGCAACCTCATCGCCATCGTGGTGCTCTGCAAGTCCCGCAAGGAGCAGAAGGAGACCACCTTCTACACGCTGGTCTGCGGGCTGGCGGTCACCGACCTCCTGGGGACCTGCCTGGTGAGTCCGGTCACTATTGCCACTTACCTGCAGAACCGCTGGCCGGGAGGAGACGCGCTGTGCGAGTACAGCTCCTTCATCCTCCTCTTCTTCGGACTGTCCGGCCTCAGCATTATCTGTGCCATGTCAATAGAGAGGTACCTGGCCATCAACCATGCCTACTTCTACAACCATTACGTAGATAAGAAGCTGGCTGGGCTCACGCTCTTCGCCATCTACGCTTCCAACGTCTTGTTCTGCGCCCTCCCCAGCATGGGGCTCGGCAAATCGACCCGGCAGTACCCTGACACTTGGTGTTTCATAGACTGGCGAGCAAAGAAGGCCACTCATGCAGCGTATTCCTACATGTACGCTGGCTTCAGCTCCTTCCTGATCATGGTTACAGTGATCTGCAACATCCTGGTCTGCGTGGCCCTAATTCGCATGCACCGCCAGTTCATGCGACGCACATCCCTGGGGACAGACACCACCTCCAGCCGCTTATCTGACTTTCGCAGACGCCGGAGCTTCCGTCGGATGGCCGGAGCAGAGATCCAGATGGTTATTCTGCTCATTGCCACTTCCCTGGTGGTGCTCATCTGCTCCATTCCTCTGGTGGTGAGTAACATTGTGCAACCCTTCTTCCATCACCCACATTGCTGAGTCTTTTCTCCTCCTAGCCTGTGCCTGTAGGACAGAATCCCATTTAGCTGGTGCCGCAAACTCTAGGAGTAATTTTAGTGCAGTTAGCATGCATACATGGTGATAGAAGAGAGTAGTACTGGTTTATATTTACAGGAAAAGAAACACACTCATCCCAAGTCCTAGGCTCCTTTGATTGGCTGACATACAGTGCCAAAAATTCTTAACAAATTTTCCACCGTTTAACTGGAATCCACACAGCACAAGTCTTATTGAGAGCTAAAGGCACTTTAAAGTTCACTTCCAAAATTAATTTGTGATGAGTGAGGTTTGGGGCTGGCCCACACTGCTGGATGCTTATTGTGTTTTTAAAATAGGCACTCTGCTGATGAAGTGTACAGCAGTCTGTAGTATCTGACAGGAGGAGAGAGTTCTCTTCACATGGCACCAGCAAGGTGCAGAGCGCTTCGCACCCAAAACCAGAACTGAGGTCCCATCCTGAAGGATACACTGGGGGTAGATCCCATGCATTTACAGCCCTCAAACAGCTCCCCAGTGTTGGAGGTCTAAATGCAGTGGAGCCACTTGGTGTAATTTTCTGTTAAATGGGAGTTGGAGGATTCTGGCCCACATGGAGCTAGAGATCATACCAAAATGCCAGACAACATTACCACTAACCATTTGCTAATTTTCTGAAACAGCTGCTACAATTACTGTCATTGACTTGAACATGCAGGATCTACTTTCTTCTATGCCTCCACCTTATCTCAAAGGAAGACAAAAAAAAAACACCAGCTCGAGGCTCAGTTCTTGCTTCCCACCCACCATAGTAAAACTTGGCGAACTTCTCTCCCCTTCTGGCTCAGAAACATTAAACAAGCGGCTGGCTTCCCTTACTCGCCACCTTCCAAAACACACTTTAGGGAGCCAAGCATTGCTTCTTAGACAGAAAGTGTTTTTGGAAGATGGATTGTTTTCAGGGAGTTTATTGTAGGTAGGAACTATTCTGCAATCTCAGTGTCATGGAGGGGTTGTGATGTGCGTGAGAAGCAAGTGGCCAGCTGGGGATGCGAAACAAACAGGCTACAGCTCGGTAAGGAAGTTCAGAAAAATACGTCTGAAAGCTCGGAGAGGTCAGTGAGTCCATCCCCCTGCTTCAAAGGAGGGTGTAACTGCAAGGGTCAGGCCAGTTTTGCCACATTACTAACATAAACAGGAGCCAGTGGAGTGTGGCTTTGCTGGAGCACCAGTGCTCAGGCTGTCGCTGAAGGCTGTCTCCCGTCCCGCAGCGCTGTGTCACTTTGCGTTGTGCCACGGCATAACCAGGCACTTTCCCGTCCATTTATTGCTCGTCGCCTAAAGGAAATCAAAACGTGCCATTTGAGTTGTGCACAGGCTGCCTCTGAGCGGCACACATGTTAGATCGAGGAACCTCACGCAACCTGTTCTGCAGTCCAGCAGCAGAAACCTCACGGGTAAGCCGACTTGCCACACTGGAAGGAATCAGGTTGTAGAGTGGCCAAACCCTGAGAGTACCTGTGGGTCCACAGTACTTAATGCGATTAATCTAATATTGTAACAGCTACTTCACAAAATAACAATATGCTGTCTTCAGAAGAGCTGCTGGTAAATGCATAGAACAGGTTCTGGGAATTAAATGCAATGTCACAACACAGTGCAGGGTACCAGCTGATGGACTTCAGTGGTGTCAGGAAAAAGCCAAAACCTTATCCCACGGAGGACTAGCTAGAGAACAGCTGACTGAGAAATGAAATTGTTCATATGCATTAGGAGCTAGGGAAGCTTTTATAAAGTCTCAAAAAAAAAATCAAGAGGGAGAGATTGCCAGAAAGGAAACTAGATTGTTGACACTTAAAATTAATGAACTTGGGTGGGGCGAGAGATTTATTATTTAAACAGTAGCTGGTGAACACCTTAGCATGTGTGAAGGTGCGGGTGACAAAGTTCTGAAGTTCTCTCAGACTTTAATTTCACTTCTTACAAAGGCATGGTATTGCCTCGAGAGTGCTCACATATGGTAGCTTTTCTCAGCTAAAGCCGCAGATTTCTTCTGTATGTAAAATGAGGTAGAAGATTGTCATTTCACTATTTCCGTACCTCACTCCGATGCACCACTAGGAAAAAAAAAAAAAGTTTTTTTTAAAACACGTATAGATACATCATTACAGTGTCCAGCATGGTTAAACTGCTTCATTGTAAAGACAGCTTTTATCAGTCATTTGCCTCCCCCTGTGGGAATAACCTGTATCCATTTATGTTTCTTTATACGGTGATGCACTGCTGCATATGTGTATTAAGCCCTCTATGTTACTTATGCACTGAGGTTAAGCATTCCAGGATAAACTCAGAGAAGTGACACCTTTATGCTGCAAATCCTTAGAAAGAGCCACCAGCAGAGACAGGAAAATCAGTCATATACACATACATTTTCATGACACAGACGAGTTCTTCTGAAGTAAGCTAGGGAGCCCTCAACCACAGAGGAGACTGAGAGGTGTGTTTATAACAGGAGATCCTGGCGGGCACCAAGAACATAAAAGTAGTAAGGTGGTGGTGGTGGCATGATTCAGATACACAAAGCAAGCTCAGAGGTTGCTTTGTGACTGAAATTTTCTGATGAGCTGATTTCCTACTGATGATTTCAGCTGAATAAACTATCACTGAAGTCAAAGCAACTTCAGAAAGAGAGACGTAAGCTTCTAACTTTTTAGAATTAACACTTTCACAAGACATCTAGTGCATCTAGTACACAGATGCAGTCCAGCAGACTGTATTTACTAGGGTTTAACAAAAATTTTCACGTCTTAAAATACTAAATAGCCCTGAAATAATAAGAAAAGGCTTGGCTTGGTTTAAAAAGTGGTTAAAGAACAGCAAGCTGAGTCACAGAGAACAGACGTTCTTAATAATGTGTGATTTATTGATTTAGTGATTTATTCATAAAATCAATAAAATTTTACAATAACAGCTACTATAGCAAAATTATTGAGCATTGTACAAAACACTGAGTGAACTTTGCAGAGATAAAGGCTGATCAAATTTATCAAGGAAAAAAAAGTTGAACAAAAATCATTAGAGAAAAAAATCTTCTGATATAAGATTCTGATATAAGATGTGAATAAGATAAAAATCTTCTGATATGTGTTCTCAGTGTACAGAAAGTGGTGTGGAAAGCATGAAGAATCTTACAATAGTTTAAAAATGAAATAAGGAAAAAAATACACAAATTGCATGCTGCCTCCTTCCTGCACTCCACACAGTTATTTCATCTTTTAAAAATCTGTGAGTTTTTAGAAAAGAGAATTAGATATATTTAAAAGTAGGGGATGAGTTTCATGGGGAGGGAAGTGGGGTGTCGAGAACATATTAGAAATTGCTAGCCAGCCTTTTAAAAAAGTAAAAACAACTCTTTCAAGTGTACATAAGCACATAGCATTCAAACTCCAGTTCACTCCAGCAGTCTTTCAGACACATGTAGATTTTTAAGTATGTGACTTTTTCTGATCCTAACCACTGAACATTGCTGAATTGCAGTGAAATTGAAAATAAAATGCTGTGTTTCAAGATGTACATGTGTTTGATCATATAAAATAATCAAAGATTTCTAACTTAATGTTGAATTGATCTAAAAGATTGGATTTTCTTTTGGTTTGTTTTGGCTTGTCTCTGAAGTACAGGGGCTGTCTGCAGCCAAAACCAGCAAGGTGGCAGGCATGATTTTTGAGCAACAGAGTGATCTGCTACAGCAGACACCAAACCCTTGAAGGGCAAAGGGTATTGGCTTGCAGAGCTGAAAAACTTGTTTCCTGCTTTCTACTATATAGATTTTAAACTTATCCTATCAGTATGTGGGGAGATTTTATGAGGACAGGTAGAAGCTATGAAGATAACTACTCCTTTAATTATTCTGGAACAATAAGTATGTTAGTCACTTTATCATACTGCATAGGAATAGAAGTCATAATTCACATTCATATTTAGTAAAAAATAAAAGCATCAAAACACACAGGACTATGATGTACAACTACCTATCGCTTCACCATAAACTCAGTGCACCATGAAGCAACGTGCTTCTTAACACAACTGCAAACAAACCACAGATACTTTCAAAATATGTTGCCTGTGTTCTGTGGCTGCAGATGTAACATTTAGACTTCATTCTATTGAGACTAGAATTGTTCCCATTTGCTTCTTAAATCAGGATTTTAAACTGCAGAAATTCAAGCACAGCTTAGCTAACACAGTAATGAATTCCACTTACATGGGACTTACTAAGAAGATGCAAGGCAATATCCTTCATTATGCTTCATCCTGTAACAGAAGACTTGTAGCCAAAACAGGATACATCTCTTACTGTTAGTGTAGACGATACATTAATAAATGCTCTTTCTTTACCAGGTTGTAAAGAAATCATAAAGTGACATTCCAACACAGATTAATTTGTACCATACTGTGATTAATATGTAATCCATGCAATAGGTCTGAATTGATAAATGCATTTGACATTTTGGGGGGCTGCTAAGAAAAAAAGTGGCACCTTTCTGTGAAACTGAAACAGTTTTGTACAGTCCAAAGTTTTCAATAAGTAGATCCATTTTAGGAATCTCTCACCTACACGTCACATATCTGTCACAAGGAAATAAAGCATACAGAGATAACATAAAGCAAGCTGTGCAATTTGTGATTGTACTTTTCAACCACAGCGTCAGCACTTAAAGACATTTTTGTCTTTCCGTAAACTCTACCGGGCAGTCAGAGAAAGGTGAATCAGGTACTTCAGCTTCAGGTGGTGCTTATCAAAGGAACAATCCCACTATTAAGTCACTGATGTGTAACAATAGGTCTAACTTTAAAAAAAAAAAAAAAGGTAAAATAGAAATCAAGTCTCCAAAGTTGGTCTGCATACTTCAGCTGTCTGCAAAGTGTGCCTTCTGGTTCTGCAATGTGGATGAATTTGTCAGTAAATACCTCTCCCCGTCACACCTCTGATATTCCTGGCAATGACTGCATGTAGTTAGCATGAGCTGCTAGCAGTCCTCCACTCCCACAACACTGTCCTTTGGATTCCTGCCTCTCAGGACAGGTACCCTTCCTGTGATCAATGGTTAGATACGTCGACCAGCATTTACACACCTTCAGGGTGCATTCCCTTGCATAAAGGAAAATCTCAGCACAGAAAAAGGAGCAGCATCTGTAAAGAAATGTTATGGCGCAGGTCAAATCCCTAAGGGAAATTGGTTCTTCATGTATTTATGACCCCTTACTATCTTTTCTTTCTGTGGGGTGGGATGGGGGGTGGAGGGAATCTCACACATGTGGCCAAGTCGATTCCAAGGACAGCGTTTAGCTGATGCCGTCGTCTCAAAAACTTTTTCAGCGTTTCACGTTATGGAAACCTGACGGCCGCTTTTCAGGTTCAGAGCCTGTGTCAGTAAGTGCAGCTCTACTTGCATAAGCTTATGCAAGTCCCGGCACTAATCCCCTCCTGCAGTGTTTATCACTGGCAGTGCATTGACATTTGCTGTCCCTCCCTTGGCTGCAACTGCTGCCCGTGGGAATGGGGGCAGCCAGCACGAGCTGCGGGTACCCTGTCCATGAAGCGGGGATGCTGCGACTGCGGGACATCTGTGCCACCTAGCGGTGCGCTCCTGCAAGCTGCACTCAGCGCAGGGCAGAGGAAGGCTTTCCTGGACACCACCTCCAAAAGCCTACGGCAGGAGATTTCAGCAATGTGCCTTGTTTAAGGAAAGAATCCTCAGTGAATGCCTGCAAAACTGTACTTACGGATCTGGGGCTCTGGAGGGACTGGTCTTCTCTCAGCCAGCAGTACACAGAGTTCTGTAGTGATGGATGTCAGATAAGAGTGTAAGCAGTTTGGAGACAAGCAAAATAAATAATGAAAAAAAGCAAAGAAAAATAAAGAAAAACCAGACAAGATCTACATGCGTAGGAATATGCTTTAAAGCACTTCAGTTGCGTGTGTGGCTTAACAGAAAAATCAGCCCAGTAAATTAGTTGTCAAAAAAACATCTGCAATGTTAGAAATAATTAGGAAAGTAACAGAGAGTAAAACTTGGATCATTATAGTTCTGTATCAATTCAAGATTTTCCCATATTTGGAATTCTGTGTGAAGGTTTTGTTACCCGTAAACCCACACAAAAGTACTGAGAAAGAAAATACAGATGATCGCCAGTTTCACACTCACTGATTTGAGAGAGATTGTATGCATAGGACTTCCAAAGAAGCACTCTGCATTATTTTAAACATACTTTGTTTGTAGCTTTGGAGCACATTCAAGCTCTGAATCCTGACAGGCAGAATACCATCACATTGCCCTGCTGCAGGAAAATTTCTCGGAAAGATTTGTGAATTTTTTCACCAGGAATCACAAGCATAACTTCTATAAAAATGACTCAAGGAGGCTGTTCTAGTTTGGCTGTTGTTTAAATGCTTGTCTTCTTCCTTGCCTGTAACCTTCTCCTAGGTAGGCCAGGCTTCGTTCATTTCAGGAGCTAAGCCTGAGACTTTAAAACATCCCTACTTTTGCTACTAGATTTTTACTGTATCACATAAAAAGAGAAGTAATACATTTATTTAGTCTTACCTTAAGTCCAAAGTAAACAGCATGTTCCATTATCCCGTCTTTTCAGTGGCTTTCTTAGGCCTTCCTAAAATGCAGGACACTGCGTAGGTCTTGCTAAAACAGAGCAGCTATTTGGGACTGATAAACAAACTCATATGACATCATGCTCTTTAGGGACACTGGAAAGATAACAACAACTCATGTCAAAGAACTGGCCTGTGCCTTAGAACAGCATTACTGAAGTGGCCCCAAATCCAGGGTAGGGACATAGGGACTGTTTGGTTGGTCTTTTTTAGATTCAAAGGAAAAACTTGAAGGAGGCATTTCTGTGTAGAAGACAGGATCCTGTCTTAAATTTTGTGCATGATAAACTGAAAGTGCTAATTCAAAAGGCAGATTCAGAATCTCCAATTCCTAACTACTTGATAAGCATTTTTACGCTTTTCTAAGTAGAACCCAATGATGGCTCATGTATGTGAGCAAAGCACTCCAGTCCAGTCCAGTCCAGTACTGGAATCATCTCATCATCTTGACCTATTAAAAATCTCCTAACTGTAGGGGCCTTTCTTTTTGTTCCTTTAGTTTTTTGTCCAAAACATGCTGCAACAAGCCAACAGCTGAAGGTATACAAACAGTTCCAGTAAGGACAGGTGCCAGAAAAAAGATATTTCTAAACTAGGGAATCAACAGCTCTGGGCTCATTTCTGGAAGTTAACATACCTGGATTATAATATGGGTTTCAGCTTATTTCTAAACATGCAATTATTAGACCCCTACCGGAGGAACTGATTAGCCTCTTCAGTGAACTCAGATATCCCTTTGCAGATAGCCTAAGACTTGAGATATACTAAGGAAGCAGGATACAGGTCTAAATCTTTGTTCCTGGGTTATATCCATCAACAAAGAAGTTGCAAAAGCAGCAGCCCAAAACTGAAGGTTGGAGGATTAATTATGAGGGGAGCAGGGAGAAAGAGCCATTCTTTTCCTACCTGTAGCACGGAAGATCAATTTACAACAGCTTAATCTCTGATTTTCTTGCCATTTCCAAAAATAAATTGGCAGCTGCTAATCCAAGGTGCTTTACTTTGCCAGGTTCTTCTCATGTTCTAGCCTGCAGATGTAAATCAAGATCTCTGCTTCAATACGTAAACTTTGATTTCCTGATTTAATTGTAAAACTGCACCTTTCTCCTCCCCCGTCTCTCTGGATAGGTCCGTGTCTTCGTGAACCAGCTCTATCAGCCCAAATTAGTGGAGGATGTGAGGCAAAACCCCGACCTGCAAGCCATCCGCATCGCCTCGGTGAACCCCATTTTGGACCCATGGGTCTACATCCTCCTCCGCAAGACTGTGCTCAGCAAAGCCATCGAGAAGATCAAGTGTCTCTTCTGCCGCATTGGAGGGGCCCGGAGGCAGCACTCGGGGAGCAATTTCAACTGCGTGGATGGCCGCAGGACCTCTTCCGCCGTGTCAAGTCAGTCGCCTTCCTTCATCTCCCGTGAGCTGCGGGAGATCAGCAGCACCTCACAAACACTGCTCTATCCCCCGGAGTTAAGTGAAAGCAGCGTCGGGGGGCGCGTGCTGCTTCCCGGCCCCAGCGCGAGCCTGGCTCAGTCTGACACTACATCCGTAAGGACACTGCGCAGCTCAGAGACCTCAGACTCTTCACACGGGCAGGACTCAGAGAGTGTCTTCCTGGTGAATGAGATCAGGTCTGGTGGTGGGGCCAGCTCCACATCCAAGGGCAGCCCCCTCCAGGTCACCTTCCCCACAGAGACATTGAATTTATCGGAGAAGTGTATATAGCAACGAAAGGCATCAACCCTGGTGATCCTTCCCGGTACGCTGGAAAAACTGGTGCAATAGATAGGTATTCTGCCTATTCAAGGGGAGAGGGGTTCAGCTATGCTCCAAAGGGCTATTTTTCTCTTGCCATGTGATGGGTACATTTCTCTTAGACTACTGAGGACTGTGTGGAACAGACATTGGCGCTGCCATCAGAAATTGTACAAGACGGGTCTAATGGGACTGGAAACACGAACATGTCTTGTTCTGGGACGCAGGAGAGCTACTGGGCCTCTTGAAATAGGAAGACCCATCACTTTCTTTCTTTCTCTTTCCCTTTACAAATCTGGTAGAACTGTGTTTTCCTGTGGCTGCTCAACTATCAAGAGTGTAAGCTTCTGATACTAGAGCAGAATGTGAGGCAGCTACTAGGAACTGGACAGAGCTACTCTGACAGCTGCCTGCAGTAGGATTTTAAAGTGTCTCACTAAAGCATGAAAATGTGAATTTTTACTGTTGTATATGTATCAGGACTGAAAATATTTAAAAGTCTATTCTTCTCTATGAGAAGGGTTCTTACTAATACCAGGTATATAGAAATGATTGCCAGCCTTCTCTTCCCCCAGTATTGCCTGCTGATAAGACATTCTTGTTTTAGATTTGTTTTCCGTGCTACATTCACGGCCGATATTATTCTTTAGCTGAGAATACATAAACACTTTGAGTGAAATGGAAACATATGTACCATTGAGAAAAAGAAAACACATCCTTTCAGTTAAGAATATTCTTTCAGTGTATGTACATACTAAAAAGCCAGATTTTATTTATGTGCTGAGAATGTTTCCATGTATAAACACATTGCTCCTCTCTGAGTACTTCGGCCCACATTCTGCACGCACTTAGGCACACACTTAACGTTGCCCATCAGAGTAGCCCTTCCGCTGCCAGGGAGACTCCTTACATGTAAAGTTAAGGACATATAGAAGTGCTTTTAATATCAGGGCCTAAAACTTTCCACCCCTGGTTAATAGTCTTAATATTCACTTTAGTTAAAGCATCACTGATGTAATAAAGGTATTTTTTCATAACATTTATCATTTTACTTTAAATAGTAAATAGAATTTTATGACGCTGTAATCTGATATTCCACCAAATAAACATAAAAAAACATGGAAGCAGAATCTTCATTTAAAAGTGTAGGTTATATAGAACCATCTTCTGGTCTTGTACCTCTTGCAGATTATTTGTTCTTAGAGTTCTGATGACAAAGACATCACCCAAAACAGCTGTTAACCAGTGACAAAAGGACTTCTGGTGTTTTGTTTTGTAAGGGGTAGGTCTTGTTCCAGAAAGACCATTTACTAAAATAATTCTGTACAGATATTTGGAGGATGTTTTGTTAAATACTAAGCATGTTATGCTGCTTAAAGTGTTCTCATGTGAAATGCTTTATTGTAATGAAAATCTTGAGCCTTATGTTGATGGTATGTTTAAGCAGTTGTACTGACCAAAATCACTTTGGGGATAACAATTAAATGAAAATGTTCTGCTTGAGCTCAAAAGTTTATGAGAGTCTGCCATTCAGTGCCAACTCCTCACTTTAAAAAGCCACCCATTTGGAACACTTTGTGCTTAGCTACTCTCAAAACATACTTGGGTCTGGAAGTTTCCAAAACACCACAGAACGACTGCCATTAGCAAGAGGAAGCCTCCTTTGAAAATGTCCCTGAGAGCATTGACACAGAGCCATGAAAATTTTTCACACAACAAAAAAAAAAATCAAAACCCCCACACAGTTAAACCTCAGGCCTGCTTCATTGTGTTCCTTTAACATGTGAGCACTTGAGCTTATTTACCTTTACGCATGTAGGAAGTGAAGTTAAATCTGTGCACAAATATTTGCAGCAGAAGCCAATATTGCACTGATTAAGTTGGAGAACAGTATTACTCACGCTCCTATTGGAGCTACAGATAAAGATCTGCCTGGATTCTTTGCAATTAAATCACTTAACCATGGTCTGTTGCTTACTAGTGACCAACAAACAGAACACACTAGTGCTGCCTTAGATAGGAAGCAGTACCTGGCAGAGCAGGAAGGTGGGACCGCCACCTGCAACCATGCAACCTACAAAAATACTGAACCACACCTTCACAGCTAGAACAAAACAGCAGAACGAGTTATTGGTACTGGATGCAATGACAGAAGGAAATATCTCCAGTGTATTTATATAAGTCCAGTATTTATATAAGGCCTATGCATTACTGATGGAAAATGCGTGTGTTCTGGAAGACTTTTAAGCAGGAAGAGACCATTGTAAGCAGCTCACCCTCACTTAGCAAACACAAATAAGCCTGAAGTCTTCCTCTTGCCCTCAGTACTGAACTCAAGAAATCACGATCAACCTACAGATTAAAAAGTCTCATAAGCAATACTGGAATTGTCTATGCGAACTCAATGGCAGTGCATGAAGACAAAATAGGAGCCCATCTATCACTTAGCTGCATCAAGGATGTTCAGAAGCAGCCTGGCTAAAAGAACCAGGCAAGTGTGCCTGTGTTTAGGGTGACAGACCACCAGTGCCTCTCTCCTCATGCCTGAGAGTCCTGATCAGCTTTGGAACCTTGCTTCATACACAGTAGCTTCCTTCTACTCCTCCCCTACAATTATCCACATACCCTGTGATACCGTCTGTCTTCACATACGTAGCCACTTCCATGCCCTCTGTGTGTTCACAGGAAATGCATTAATTCCCAGTTCAAAAACAAACCCAAATTTTTGTATCTCCCTGACTCCATCCTGTTGCTTCTATCACCAGCAGTCCCACACCCTCACTTCCAGCAGCCTGCCTCTGCCCACACACCCCCAACCACAACTTCACAGAACCCCTTCCATCCATCCACAAGTTCTGCTAGACCTCCCACACCTGTACCACTCCCCAAACCCTGATCCCAAACTCAGTTTAAGCCCCTGTCCTGTGGCATGGTGTGGAGAATCTACACACCACAGGTAGAGGAAAAGTCAGTATTTGTAGGAGACGAGTTTCTATGAAAATTAATTTCAATCTCTGATAATAATATGTTAGCATTACAATTGGCCTTTTCTTCTGCAGTTTTTGAGCCACTTTCCCCCAAGCCTGTAGCGCTGCTTATACATGTACATCTCTGCTGCCTACAACACGTTACCTAACCCAAATCCATGCTACAGGTGCAATGCCAAAGCACTAACAGTAATCCAACATAATCCACTATCTCCAAATGGTACCACCCATCATCCTAACCAAGAAGTTTCCTACAAAGCTTTTTACTCTGTATTCTGCTGCAAAACAACAGCACATCTGTGTTACTTATGGCAGATTTACTTACTTTTCAAGCTACTAAGCACCAACAGA